GAAGGCAGTCTCGGAGATATCCAGGTCCGATGCCATGGATGTAATTGAGTTGACAAGTAAATAAGCTAACAAAATAAAATAAAATGTCATAAAAATAGATCATAGCTGCAGTGAGTTGAGAAGCAACATCTTTCACAACAAATGGTAAGGCAAAGACAGGTTAAGGTTGTTCTATCCCAAAGGCTGGAATGTAAAACCAAGTCTTCATTTTGTAAGGTAAAGGTTTCCCTGTCAGTTGTGTCCAATTCTAGGGCACGGTGCTCATCTTGGCTGAGGGAGCCAGTGTTGCCCAAAGACAATTGCCATGGTCATACGGCCAGCATGGCTATATGCCAAAGGTGCATGAAACGCTGTTACCTTCCTACCAAAGTGGTACCTATTAATCTACTTGCATTTGCATGCTTTCAAACTGCTGGGTGTGCAGGACCCCAAAGCAAAAAATGTTAGCTGCAATCTGTCATGCAGAGAAAGGCATTTGAAAGTGGGGGTCCACAACAACAAAGAAAACCTCCCACAACCTCACATCATGACTTTCTATCAGCCAAAGGATGTTAATGACCCCCACTACCCCCCCCCCCGCTGATCTTAATGTGCAATTAGTTACCAAGCGAGGTATTCTATCAATAGAAAAACCTCTTTAGCTGTTGACTTAATTTTCTAAATGTTGAAGTCCAACCTAGTAGCCAGAGCAGATCCTTTAGGATGTGTGTTACAGGATCTCCAAGAAATAGTCCAACTGGCCGTGCTTCTGCCAGATGCTCCAGTTTCCGCATTCTCTTCAAGGGCAGATCCACATAAAGTGGGTTCCAGGAGTCTAACTGGGAAGTTACTGGACCATAGATTACTGTGGCCAACTTCCTTGTTCAGGAAAGGTTGAAGCTGAGGGGCCACCCTCAGCTGACCAAAGGCATTCCTTAGTTTACTTAGGGCAGTCAAGCTTGGAGTTATTAGACTCTGGAGGTAGATATGTGTGCCTGATTTTATTTATTCTGGACAGCAAGAAATTCAAACGATCAAGCCCACACAAGGTTCTCCTTCCGTATTAGAATGACTTGGAGCAGGGATGGATATGTAAAAACTATGAGCCAAAGTTGTCTTCCCCACAATACTCATTGCAACTTCATTTAAACATTTTTCTCCTCTCGACTATTTTATGCTTGCTATCTCCCTGTACACCAAAATCTGCTGGTGCCTCCAGGATACTTACTCTCCCTCCCCCACCTAATGCAAACAATGAACTCACAGCCTGGAGTCTGTTTATGGAGGGAAAATAGAGTGTCCTGCACTTAAAGCCCTGATATGAGGGTCTTACAAGGGACATGGTTGGGGGGAGAGGCCTCACACAGTTCCATTCTTGGCTCCAGTACAGGAAGACTTGGTGGGAAATTAATGATTAATGGAATCATAGGGAGGCTAGATCAAGCCTCTATCCGAGGGCCAAGATCATTGCACAGTCTTGGATGGCAAGGGCCAAGCCTTGTGCTTGATGACAATTTTCAGTGTTTAACACTGAAATTATCCACTGAGTATGGAAACCTCTATTTCTTCTTCATCTGAGATAAGGGCAATTCTCATATACCTCGTGAGCATGGGGATACCAGGATGGGAAAGCAAAATTCATTGAATTTCTGCCCAATGTGCTGATGTAATAGATGTGTGTTCTTAGGTCAGAGAGCTTTTCATTCTGAATCTACTACCAGATGTAAGTCTCTCCCTCCCCCAGGGCAACCATCACTCATGCACAATGCTTTGATTATATAGGAAGGGGGGGTAATGAAATCCATAAGCCCGACTCTTGTTTGACTCCTCCTAATTTAGTCAAACTCTGCTAAGAAAACAGGAGTTAAGGGGCCCATTGTAAAAGATAGGGGTGCTGGATTCCCCCCCCAAATAATCTATAATTTGAGCTCTGTTCCATGCAAAAGGATCTGACCGGAGGTTGTTTCCTCTCACTCTGGGCCAAATATCTTGTCCCAAGATAAAAGTCATATTCATGTCCCTTAGCAATTTCCAGCTGGAAGTTGCAGCATGTGTTGTGTGTTGCATAGTTCTGGCTTGCGTGTCTTGTTCCTTTATTCCCCCTCCTGCTATTCAGAAGTGGGGGACCATTTTTTTTCCTGATGGTAGTTTGCTTTCCTCACACTGATGGCTTTTGCAGAGGGAAAAGCCAGCCAGCACCAGACACTAGCTCAGCATAGGGATGAACAAAACAACAGGAAAGGGGAGGCAAAGATAGCCTCTGCAGAGAAGAAGAACAGGAAAGTTTACCTGTTGTCTGTGGGTCTCAAAGATCTTTGGGGGAAGACTGGACTGTATTACAGTACCTTGTAGGTAAATAGCCCTGCAGCTGCACATCACGCAGGTATGTACTATGGCATACATACTATTTTCCTTACCCACATCTGTCTCAACTCATACTTCTTGTTCACATCTGTGCAACATTGACACCCTTTATGCATGAACTGAATGTTCCAGACACTCTGTTCAGGTATGCGATATGAACATACATAGATGAGAGGGACAGCACAGACATATGTTTCATTCCTCACCTGCACACATATATATAAGCAGTAAAGTCTCCTTCAAGCTGAGCTCAACTCCTGGTGACTTCCTGGCCACAGCAAACAGATTTTTGGCAGTCACATGGGGATATTTTCTTGGTGCCTTCTTCCAAGATTTTGTTTTAAATTCCAGTCTAGTCTATAGCCCTGAAATTTCCTGGTGGTCTCCCATCCAAATACTAATCTGGTGCAATTAGAATTTGTTGAGATTAGCCAAGGTTGGCTAGATGCTGCCACCTTACTGGATGTAACATCTGAAACTAGACAACTCTTCCTGGTCAACTGCTATGTTGGAAAATATAATGAATTCCATTGTTTCCAGTTGGAACTTTCTAGAAACCCCACCCAGCGCTTCTAGCTCTTGAAGATGGGAGGTATTATAGTCCAGGTACATCTACAGATTCGGAAAAGCTGGGAAAAGTCCTGCTGCCCTGACGTATCACACCCATCTCCTATTGCCAGTTCTACTGAGGCATAAGAAAGTAGCATTGAGAGTGGCTTTCTGGAGCTACTGTAGTCAGAACAGGAATTGTTATGCACATGGACTAGACGTCCTTTTAGAACAGTGGTTCTCAACCTGTGGGTCGGGACCCCATTTAAGGTCGATCGACCATTTCATGGGGGTCGCCAAGCAAGGCTGTCCGCCATTTTTTTTGTCCGCCATTTTTTTTCCCCTTTTCCGGCGGGTGCCTTACCTCCCTTGGGCTGGGCCAGCTGGTGGTCGGCCTGCTCCGTCTCTGCCACTTGCCAGCTACGCCTCGGCCGGCGCAGGGGGCGGAACCACGCATGCACAGCACTCCCAGGCAGGGAAAGTCCTCGACTTACGACCGGTTGGATAGTCCTCGACTTACGACCGGTTTAGTCCTCGACTTACGACCGGTTGGGGTCGCGGCATTAAAAAGGTTGAGAACCACTGTTTTAGAAGCTTGAAGAAAACACACTTCTTCCTTCTAGGATAGGGTGGTGGTGGTGGTGGTGGTGATGGGATCTAAGGTTTCCAGGACTGCCCTGGGAATAGCTACAAGCTGTTAGTAGGGAGAGGTCAAATAATATGCATTTGCCCATGAACTCAACCTTACTTGATATCTCACTCTGACATGTTCTGTTCTCCATATAAAGGGAATGGGGAATTCAGTTTCAAGGCCTTCTAAGGGAGATTTAATTTTGGTATCTCTCTTTTTTTGTTTTGCTCAGCCCTGTCTGGAAGCCCTCAGGCATTTTGAGCCTTCTAGGCAAAAACTTCCTATATACAGGAAATTTAAGAGGCTGGGGCGTAGCGCCATTAAGCCCAGATGGACTGAGACACTTTGTGTAAAATCAGGCCTCTCCAATAGTTGCAGGCTCCATGTTTCATTGCAATCCTGTTTGGGACATTGGAAAAAAATCCCAGCGTGGGATGGCTGGACTGTAGTCAAGGGGAGCAGGTGAGACTGACCAGGGAAGAGCAGCAAGATTGCAGGACTATGGAAACCAGTCAGAGAATACCACCCCACTTCTCAGAAACAAAGGCTCCCCTGTCTCCAATGTGTTTCTTTCTCACACACAGTCATGCACACATCTCTTTGGGGGCTAGCCAGACAGGCCGCTTGCTGGAAACTCTCCTGGCTAGTGACGTGGGAGAACCGGAGGGGCAGCAGACACCAAGACCCATGAATCGGACCCAGAGCTGAGATCATTTCCCCAGCCTTGGGGGGGGGAATGTGGCATGTTGAGGCACAGGGTCCCCGCATGGTGGGTACATGGCCTCTTGCCCTGTGGCAGGGACTTCACTCAGTAGCAGTGTTGTGCTGACTCCCTTGGGCTGGTCGGGCTTCATGCACACCCCCTCTCGTTTTTCCCATTCCTGCACACTCCCCCCCCTCGTTCCCATCCTGACTGTAACGAGAAGCAGATGTGAGCAAGCAGCCCAAACCCAGCACAGGAGGGAGGGGGTGGCCAAGCAGGAACTGAGACTGCAGAAAATCCCCATTTCGAACGAGGCTGGCTGGTGGAGGGGATGTTCAGAGGGCCAAGGCCAACCCAGGGGTGAGGGAGCCAGCGGTTGGGCAGAGAGCAGGGAAGCCCAGGATAGGGAAAGCTGGGGGGGGGGGAACAGGGCGCTGGGGCTCATAGCTGCCAGGCAGGAAGTTGGGGGGAGTGAGCAAGCCAGCTCTGGGAAGTTTGCAAAGCTGTCAGTGTGTGAGGAGTGAGCGGCTGCACAGAGCCCTCTCGGCCCGCGTTGTGCCTGCAGGCTGAGTGTCAGGGAGAGGGCCAGAAAGAAAGGAGGACTCCTGCTCTGCCAGCATCACTGGCCCTGCTGTCAAGGCCTAGGGGCCCAGGCCATGTGCAGCTGACCCGAGGACCCAGGGAGAGGACCACCAAGAACTGGGAATGGCCGGCCCTGGGGCCACCGCATGGCTCTGTATTTGGTGGGGCCTCCTGGCCAGGGAGGTCTGGGGCATGAACTATCCTCCCAGGTACAATCTATACACAGGAAGCAACCTGCCTTTCACACAGCTCCAAGGGACAGCACAAGCAACCAATGGGGCCCGAGTGGCCAGCCGCCACAGGTAAGACAGCTGACTATACAGACTATGGGAGATGCAGGGCTGGAGCAAAATCAAGCTGTCTGGAATAAGGGTCCTCCAGAAAGAAATGGAAAGGCAAAAAGTAGGAAGTCAGACTTCCACAGGCATAAATGCACTTCTGCGTCTGAGCTTCTGCAAAACTGGTTACTGCCTTCTGCTTCCCACCGGCCTGAGGGGAGGGCACTGGAAAAGACAGCTTTTATGTTCCTATGAGGTTTAAAGGATATGGAGAAGACCCAGGAGCTGGTTGGAAGAGGATGGAGGGTTGAAAAAAGGCCCCACCAGAGAAAGGCCTTATTTGCTTAAATATTGCATATTTTATATATGGCTGGCTATCCATCTCATGAGCGGCAAATCTTCATTGCATGTGATTGCAGGTTTAAAAGTACCCATTGCTTATCCCTCCATGTGAGTTTGGGGAAAAAATAAGATTCACACCATGTCAGTTTTAAAATTTAAATCTGAATAACGGCAAGCCATGAATAGTCTCATAATCTATTGCTTTTTATTGTAATGGACTTTATGTTATGTTATATTATATGTTTGTTATGGATGATTATACACTGGCTTGAAATCCCAAGAAAGATGCCTGACAGTGAACATGGAAAAGAGGTGGTGACAATGGTGTTTCCATAGCAACACACTTCAATTCCTGTCCATGTGCTTATCTTTCCCAACAGAAGGTGGAAAGAGGCTCTGGATGCAAATTAAGGGCTGAGGACTATCCCATGCCCAACATGATCCTAAACAATTGGTCTAGCTACCCACCCCATCAGCTTCCTCTTTTGTTTGGGGCAGTGGTCTTTCCCCACAAATGTGGGGTGAGCGTGGAGGCTTGCAATGGAGAGTCCTGCTTGCTAGATGTATCGTAAGCTGTTAATATTTGTGAGAATAAGACTTGGGGATGGGTTGTCTTTATGGGAGAAAGGGTTGTGCATCAAGATGACCACAAAATATTTGTGGGATGTTGAGGAATTGAGTTAAATGCTGAAGAATCAAATAATGGAAACAAGAGACAAGGTGGGAGTGGGGTGGGTGAAGGAAGTTTGCTGCTTTATCCAGTACTTCAGATTCTTTCTTAGCTAGTGTGGGGTGGGGGTGAGGGGGGGTGAGGAAAAGCAAAAACAGTTGGGGTTTGAATGGATACTGCTTTTTGAAGGGGGAATTAGATTCCAGGGTAAATTTGCAGCTAGTTTGGGAAATAGGAGCAGCATTGTACAGAGGCAGAAAGAAAGGGGCTCCAGAAAATAGTAACAAGAAATGGATCTTGGCAAGAGTTGTAGCTTAGGGGAGAAAAGCAAAGTAATACAAGACTTGTTCATTCATACAATCACCCTTCACTTCCTCCTCCCATCTTAACTACTCCATAACTTGCCCAGAATAGGATAGGTTTCTGCCCAAGATTTTTCCTAGTTAGGCCTCTTCTCATGGGCTGGTTTTGGAGATCTGGAGAATATTTATTTGTTGTTAGATTTATAGGCAGTCCTTCAGCCACACATCTATTGTAGTTTATAACAACCAAGACTAAAATCATCCATTATGGAAATGTACTGAATCAGTGCACAAACATTACACAAAAATAGCAGCCAGACAGAAACAACATATTATCTCAGATCTCCAAAGGCTGTCAAAACCAATGAGTTTTGCCATCTGCTGGAAATTCCCAACAGAGTGGGGCCTTCTGGCGGCTCTCAATGGAGGCAGAAATGTTGAGTGCCAGATAATGGGAAAAGGCTTATACTGAAGTCTGATTTGAACTGCCCCTATTCAAAATCTTCTCATGGTAATTATAATGCAGGAAAGGTTCTCAACACATGCTTAGAGGATCAATCTATTTATCATTTCGTATGAATTCCTTTCTCAAGTTGACCCTGGCATGCAGGAAATGCCCTAAATTTCCTCTTTTGAGGATGGGAAATATGATAAGGTGAACTGGGCAAACATTAACCGGTAGGAAAGTAACTTGTTAGTTCAGATTAATCTCTTCCAATAATGGAAAGAGGCATCCCTGCCTGGCCTTTGACCTGGCTGTTTTTTTTTAGCAGAATCTCTCTGCTAAGATCAAACCTCTCCTTGATTAAAGGCCCTTAGGCCTTAAGGATCCGTGGAGCAAAGGTGAAAAGCATTCTTGAGGCAATTCACCTGGATCCAATATGTAGTGCAACTGGGGTCTTGGTGACAAGGGAAGTAAGTAAGCAGGGAGTTAGGACTCCTTCATTAAGTGCATTGCCAAGAGACAAAAGAAGAGGGAATTGCTCTGGTGCCATTTCCTCTGTTACTCAAGATTTTGAGGGGTTCACTATACTACAGGAGGAGGAGGAGATAACACAGTTTTCTCTCACTAGGGCAGTGGGATTCCACAGATCATGAGCAACTTACTTAGTCTGTTCACCAAAGAGGATATTAAAGGCATTGTTCTACTCAAACCACCTAGTACAGGATCCCTTAGAACCTCTCTGACTATCCGCCTTCTCCCAGAGAACGCATTATTTTGTGTGGCAGTCTGTTCTACTGGCTGATAGCACATATAGTTGGGAAGTTCCTCCTGACATAATGCCTGAACTCCTTCCTTGTTATTTTAACCCATTGGTTCTGGTCCTGCCCTCTGGGGCAATGGAAAATAAATTCATTCCTTTTTCTTGTGACAGCAGTTCAGATAATTGAAGACTTCCGTCATTTCTCCCTTCAGTCTGTTGCTTTTTTCTGTCCAGATTCTTTTGCTGCTCATCATAGGGCTGAATGTCTATGAAGATTCTTAGTCATCAAGGTCATGGTTCTCCCAAAGGTGCTTTTTCACAAGGCAACTGGACTTTGTTTTTCCTAGATGTTTCACTTCTCATCCAAGAAGCTTCTTCATTTCTGACTGAATGGTGGAGGGTGGAAGGAGTTATATTCCTTGCAGTCATCTGGTTGTTAGCACTCTTTCTGAGAGTCATTGAGGCCACTTGGACTCAACTGTGCGTTCAAGGCCACCTGAGTAGTTCAAATGGGTCCTTCACCATTCAGCCAGAACTGAAGAACCTTCTTGAATGAAAAGCCAAATGTCTTCAAGGAAAAACAGAAGTCCAGTTGCCTTGTGAAAAAGCACCTTTTTTCATCATAGGGCTGGATTGCAGACCTTTATGGTTCCCAGTAGTCTTCCTCTGAGCTTACTCCGACTTGTCATTATCTTTTTGAACTATGGTACCCCCCTTTCCAAAATGGAGTCTGTGGAAAGGAACAATTACTTCCTATGATTTGAGTTTTATGCTTGTTAATGTAATGCAACGGCTCCCAACCTTTTCTATACCCCGTACCCCTAGAACGCTTCTGATATATTCTCCCTTACAAAAGTTCAAAATAACAGCAACAAATTATGCATATACACTATAATTTTGAAAACCCAAGTTTTCACACCCCCTGGAATATTGTCTCGCACTCCCGATTGGGAACCCCTGATGTAATGCAAGGTAGCATGTGCCTTTTTAGCAGCTGCATCACATTGCTGGCTCAACGTGGTCAACAGCAACAGAGTCTTTTCAGATGTTCTATTGAAGAGCCAAGTCTCCCCCATCCTGTGTTGTCTTTGTATAGCCATGCTCCACTTCTGTAGCTCAGCACGAAACTTCTCCACTCAGTACCTTTTTTGGTCTTTATCAACAATAACAACAATGAAGAAGAGTTTCTTTAGTTTAGATTAACATCAAAGTGTGCCTAGGCACATCTGCCTCTGGCTTTTACTTGAATCCCATGCTTTGTTTGGGGATTTAATTTATTTAAAACAAGCATTAAAATTTAAGGCCTCTCTCAAATCCTCATCCTCTCTAGAAGTTGAATCTTGTGCCAAATATGTCAAAGCAATGTTGCTCTTTATCTTTAGCAATGTGGAGTAGGCAGAAGTTAGAAACATGCTGCTCAGAGAATCTTGCTGAAAATGAAGCCGTTTAAGTCCTGGTCTCAACCCTGAATTAGAGCATCTCTGGCATGTGGGAATATGGAAGTGGGGTAGATTTTGGGCTTTGCTACTATTTGCTGTACACGGGCTGGAATAGAACAAAATAATTCAGTTGTGGATCAACCCAACCCTCCTTTCTTGCACCATTGCAGGAATTGGTGTGCTTATGTGGGGTCACGGAGTGTGAGCTGCGTGGTGGAGGATGGAGTCGACACGTATGTGAAACCAGATTATCAGCCATGTGTTTGGGGACAACTCCAGTGTCCTCGTGTTGTCACGTGAGTGAGGGGCGAGCGGGGAAAAGGGAACACCTGTGTAAGTCACTGTAGATCCCTTACTGTTCCGAGTCATTGCAGAGCATGTAGAATTGGGTTTGGACTGAAAACAGCAGCAGGGCAACGGAAAGCATTTGCCCCCTTCTCATTCCCAGTGATCCCAGCCTCACTGGCAAGTTGGTTTACTACCTGGGTGGAATAAGAGGTCATGACTTCTCTGGGCAAATGGGGAAGAGAGGCTGGATGCCTGTGGCTGTTGCCTAGCGTGTGCCCAGTCCATCAGGGAAATGCACTGATCCCAGTGCCAATAAAAGTTAATGGGCCATGCACATGGAAGTGATCTGCTGCCTCCTAGTGGTGATCTTGTGGGTTGCAAACAAATTATAAAGTTTTCTTCAAGTCAGATTTGACTTTTGGTGACTCTTTGACTGTATGTATTTGACTATATACAAATACATCCATGTGCTGTAATTATAGCAACAACACAGAAGTGGCTTGCCATTATCATCTTCTGGGATTTTTTTTTTTTTACTTCCCCGTCTAGACTACATCTTAAGGATTTCTGATGGTCTCCTACTTAAGCATTAACCAGGTTTGACTCTGTTTAGTTTTTTTAGATCAGTCATTGTCAAGCCTATCTGTCCAGAAGAGAGACCAATGCTTGTTCAAAGTAGATGAGCTTTTATCTTTTTCTGAGGAATATATGCAGGGCCCTCTGACTATCCATAGGTGAAAAGAACGCTGTAGAGAAGAGAACTACCTCACCCTAAGAAGGAAAATATCTAATGCTAGCAGTTTCCTTACCAGCTGCCTGCTAAGAATGTTACTACTTCTGCAAGCAAATAGTTAACCCACAAAAAGACCCCTGCCCCATTTCTTACTCCAAGCACAAATCCTCTTGGCTCTTCCTTCCACCTGACAGATATCGAAGTTTTGTGCGCCCACGCTATAAGGTGGCCTATAAGATGGTCTCAGACTTGGAGTGGCGCTGCTGCCCTGGCTATTCAGGCAATGACTGTGCCGAAAGCGGGACGCTACTTGCTACCAGCCGACCACGACCCCAGCCTGGTCAACCCAACCTATCCGGCTTTGGCAACCCACTCAGTGGTGGAGAAGGTAAATTCAAAAGGTGTAAATAAAATTTCCAGTTTGCTGTAATGGTATAATTGCTATCTTTTTAAAAAATCTACATGTGGTTTTCCTAGCATAAAAGAAAAGCTCTAAAATGAGGAACCCAGTGAGGTAAAGCATAACTATGTATGTGATCAGCATATGGAAATGTATATATACAGCATAAATCATAGCATTTGCCAGCTTCTTAAGAGATTGACTCTTTAAAGGTTGCCTTTTTAAAGACTGACGATTGCTCTGGGTTTATAACTTGGCAATATTGCAACACATCTTCACAGATTCTCACCTGGTTGGCTCCCAGCACCAACAACGCATCACTCTGGTTTCTCCTGCCACAAACATCTTCTCAGCCTAAATGTACATTAGAATAAATCTGATTCCTAGCATCGGGTATTTTCCCATGCTTCTTACTCCCATCCTGCTGCTTCTAGGGGAATCTGCATGAAATTGTCAGAGGAGATGAAGAACAGTGGAGCTCTTCGATCTTTAATGGGTGAAAATATGGCATTTTAGCAGGGCTTCTTTTCTCACCCCTCTGTGACAAGCTGCACCTGTCAAATCTCCTTCAAAATGACTACAATCTACCCAGTATCTTTGCAGCTGCTCATTGTTGAAGGAGGCTAATGGAAAGATAAATGCCAGATGTGGAGAGATTCAGGTTCTCACGAGATTATTTTAAAAAGGCTTAAGGATATGATTTTAAAGAGGATTCAATAAATGCATGGAGAGATGTCCTTAAGTTTTTCCTTATTCAAATGCAGTGCATTTTGGAAGACCAGATGTTGGAGGCAAGTTATAGAGGAAGCTATCATCAACTTCTTAGAAATATTAGCCATTTGCTATTGGAAGAAAGAGTGCTGAATGAGAGGGAGCTTTCGGCATAATCCAGCAAGTTTGTATCCTGTAGTTGCCTATTACTTGACCATAAGGCTGAAAAAAGCTATCAATCTTTACTTTTCTTCAGATTAAGTTCCAGGAAGGAACTTTTTTTTTTTCATTAGGGTAGAATAACTAAGTTATTCTAGAATAATTTAAAGTTACATTTTGTCCTGGCTAGTTAGTAAACTGTATTGTCCTCATTGGTGATTATGATAAAAACATCCTGGTAGATGAATAGCCAATGACATGTGTTTCTCACGTATGCTGCCCAGAGTTGCATAATCATGAGATGGGTAGCATATAAATGCAATAATAGAATCATACTAAAATACCCTTCTTATAGTTACTGATAATTATACTTGTTCATTATAGTTCTCCATAATTGGGGAGGGGGGACAATAATATCAATACCTCATGGTTCTGCGCTACTCTATTTGGAAAAGGTTTTACACTATACAAAGGACTGGTGTAACATGATTTAAATCACGGGCTGGAGATGATTAAAGATGATCAACGAGCATTGAGATGGCAATGAAAACTGCATGTAAGGAAAGGCTTATGTGATTTGTGCAAGAATATTCCAAGAATCAACAGCCCATTTTAAGCATTTCTGAATGCAGTTTTGGTTTCAGGAAAATGATCTAAGCATTTACTTGATTCTCAGGCCCTTCTAGTGAAATTTCCTAGTCCTTGGTGCTCTCTGAGCTTGGCTGTTTGTTTGCAGCTGATTCATTATTTAACTAGGTAATATCAGTGCAATGTTATGTGGGTTTGCTCCCTGTTTAGCACAGACAATGAATCATCTGCAAGCAAAAAGCCAAGATGAGAAAGCATCAAGGATTCCACTGCTCAACCCTGAACTACATATATATTTTTTCCTATTGTTTTTTCCCAGTGTAGGGCATCCCAAATAGAAGAGTTGGATTAAACTTCTACCGTGTCTTGATCATTGGTGTTATGCATGCTGCCCTCCAAACAAGAAGAGGGGAGCAGGTTAAGGGAAGTTATCTTAGAGCAGTGTTTCTCAACCTTGACAATTTTAAGGCATGTGGACTTCAACTCCCAGAATTCCACAGCCAGCAATGCTGGCTGTGGAATTCTGGGAGTTGAAGTCCACATGCCTTAAAATCGTCAAGGTTGAGAAACACTGTCTTAGAGTTAAGCAAGCCTCTCAGATTTAAGCTCCCCACCATTTTGTCAAGTTGACAAATTCAGGCCAAAGTGCCCTGATGCCTTTTTCAATCTCTCTCTCTCTCCCATTAGGACACAGGGACTCGGCGAAAGTACAACAGCTGGAAGAGAAAGTGCAGAGCCTGACCAAGCAACTGCAAGACTTGCAGTCCACCATGCAGGCCAACAACGCCAAGCTGACCGAAGACGTGCGCCGGGCAGTGGAGACCTCCCTGAACGGCAAGCAGCCCGCAGACGCCGCCGCCGCGGCCGCCCACCCGGAGATGAAGGAAACCCTCAACGAGATCCAGCGCCACTTGCAGCGCCTCGACAACCGCATCGCCAGCCACGAGAACGGGCGAGGCACGGGCGGCAGCGGGCCCGACGTCCGGGGCGAGGTCATCCGGGAGGTGGAGCGGCGCTTGCAGGACTCCTGCGCCTCCTGCCTGACGGGCGTGGAGGGCCTGAAGCGGCAGCAAGCCGACGACCACGACCGAACGCGGGCTCTGGAGAAGCTGTTTTCCTCCCAGGAGCAGCGGAACCGCGAAGCCGTCAGCGCCGTCCAGCAGCACGTGAGCCGCCTGGCCGAGCAGCTGCCCAAGGCCTGCTGCCCTCCGATGGCGACTCGGGTGGGCGAGCTGGAGCGCCGCCTGGAATCCGTGTCCGATTCGGTAACCGCGCTTCACGAGCACGTGGGAGGCCGGCCGCAGCCCCAGGGGCCCTGGAGCGTGGACAGCCGAATGACCGAAATGGAGAGCCGCGTCAACCTCACGCAGCGCAGCCTGGAGGAGCACTTGGTGGACTTGCAGGTCATGCTGCAGGGAGCGGACGATCGGCTCGGCCGGGCGGAGAGGCAGCTCGACTTCCTCTTCTCCCGGCTGAACGATTTCCAGAGCCACGTGGGCCGAGCCCTGGCCAACCTGTCGCGGGACGTCGGCGGGCTGAAGGACGGGAGCCTGCAGCAGCAGGGGGCGCTGGAGCGGGTCCGCGTCTCGGTTCACGCCTGCACCCAGATCTGCACCGAGCCGGGCAACCAGGACTCGCAGATCAGCAGCATCTTAAGCGACCTGGAACGGCGCGTGCTGGACAACGAGGGGCAGCTGCGGTTGCTGGGCTCCAACCTCCACCAGCTCGACGTGTCGGGGAAATTGCGAAACTTGCAAGGCTTGGTGGGAGCGAACAGCGAAGCCCTTGGCAAGCTGGCCGGAGAAATTGGCGAGCTTGAGAACCAGATGGTGATTTCCATGAGTGCGGGGCCGCCAGATTTAATGCGCTATTCCAATCGCACCAATCAGCGCTTGGATAAATTGGAGCAAGAGGTCGAAAGGTTGGAACGCCGTCCCTGCAGTCAGAGCTGCTCCCAGCTATGGGGGGAAATGAGACAGCTCAGGGAGCAAGTGGAAACCTGCCAAGCAGCCTGCCAGCCAATGGGGAAAAAGCCAGAACTGGGTACAGAGCAAGGGGAGACCTCCAAACCTTTGGATGGCTTCAGCGTGACTGGCGGCAGCTCCAGCATCCACCTGCAGTCTTTGCAGGGAGAGCTCTCCGAGGTGATCCTGGGCTTCAGCTCACTCAACGAGACACTGGCTGGGCTGCAGGCCACCGTGGAAAAGCATGAAACCGACATCCATGAGCTGGGCACTACCAAGGATCGCATCATCACCGAGATCAACCGCGTACAGCAGGAGGTGACGGAGCATGTGGGCGAGAGTGATGTGCGCTTCCAGGACCTGGGTCACGAGATCCATCGGTTTAGCGGTACTCTTCAAGTGGAGGCGTCAGACTGTCGGAGGGCCTCTGGAGGTCTGGCAGAGCGACTGACTAAGCTGGAAGGCACCTGTGAACGACTGGACCATGTCTCGGGGAGCTTGCGCAAGATTAAGGAAGGGCTGGACAAGCACATCTCGGCTTTGTGGGGCTGCATTCATGAAGTGAACGGGACTCTGCGCAGCCACGGAACCTTGTTAGAGAAGATCCACGGCAGCCAGTTGGGCACCATCCACCGCCACCTCAGTACTCTTAATGGCTCCCTTCATACTCTGAAGGGTCAGCTGCATGACCTCACCCTGCAGGACTTCACAGGTACTTTTAGCAGCTCTGATGGGGAAAGATGGACTAGGAATAGTAGCATGGGTTGATTTGAGGTAGGACTCAAGGTTGGCATAGTACAGGTAGTCCTCGACTTACGACCACAATGGAGTCCAACATTTCTTTTGTTAATTGAGATATTTGTTGTGAGTTTTGCCCCATTTTACAACTTTTCTTGCCACAGTTGCAGCTGTTACGTTAGTTACACAGTTGTTAAGTGCATCTGGTTTCCCCATTGATTTTGCTTGTCAGAAGGTCGCAAAAAGGGACCACATGATCCCGAGACACTGCGAACGTCATAAATATGAGTCAGTTGCCAAGCCTCCGAATTTTGATCACGTGACTATGGGGACACTGGAATGGCTGTAAATGTGAAAAACGGTTATAAGTCACTGTTGTAACTTTGAACGGTCACTAAATGAACTGTTGTAAGTCAAGGACTACCTGTATATCCTAGCCATCTTCCCCTTTCTTATGAGGTGCTATCTGGAATGACTGTCCTTTGTTCTAAATTTCAGGCCCTCCAGGTCTTCCAGGTCCCATGGGAAAACAGGGCCCCCCAGGCCCGATGGGAGGTCCTGGCAAGGATGGAAAGACTGGCATGGAGGGACCTCCAGGTGAGAAACTGGCCAAGTTCAATTACTGTTGGTGTTCTAGTCTGCGCCTTTAATATACGATGCTCCCAGGAAGATCAGCTTTACTGCTTAGCAAATGCTGTATCTCAGGGGTAGTCAACCTTGGCTCTTTTATGACTCGTGGACTTCAATTCCCAGAATTCCTGAGCCAGCATAGCTGGCTCAGGAATTCTGGGAGTTGAAGTCCACGAGTCATAAAAGAGCCAAGGTTGACTACCCCTGCTGTATCTCTTCAAACTCTCTGATTCCCTTTCATTCCATAGTCATCCTTGCCAAATATGTTAGTGATAAGAGTTTCAGTTTCCTCAACTAATGATTTTCAGACAGAAGAAAAACAGCTGCAACAGGTCTAGTTCTTGGATTAAACAGATGTTCTTACAAGGAAATTGAGATTGGAGATTTTTTTTTTATAGTGGATAATAAGGCTTAAAAAAAACAAGGAAGGTCTAGATTAGGATGATAATGGGAAGAATTGTACCAGAGCACTCTTGTTGGCATGCAGTATGCAAAAGTAACAGTTGCCAAACCTTCAACTATGAACTTAACTAGACCTCACTAAATGCAGTCTTGGCGCATCAAGGGCACGTTTTCTCCTTATTTGACCTGCAGTGTTAACTATCAACACTGTAGGAAGTACAATCCAATAAGGGCAAGACACTATAGCTTATCCCACCTCATGGGCATACCTGTATTCATCTGATTCCTTTTCTTTCTTTTGCAGGTTTCCCTGGAAAACAAGGTAATAAAGACCAGATAACGAGATGTGGAAGAGAAGTAATTTCTATTCTTGGAGGAAACTGAAGGCTTAAACTTAGGAAATTGGAACTACTAAATCCTGTGTTCTATCTAGTTTAGAACTGGTAGCAATAGTGCTTTAAAATCTCTATCAGAAAAGGAGTTTAGTGCTAAACCTGGCTGATATCAGGATAGCTTACATGCTTTACTACTGCACTATGATAAATGGAAGTCTCCTTTTCAGCCAATTTCTTTCGTCTCCCCTGTTTCTGTAATGTTATGGGGTAGGGATGGGGTAATGAAGGAGAGCGAGGAGAATATTTACAGGCTGTTGCTTGAATTATAGAAGCTAGGAGAGATCACACTTTTGATTGCCGTGTTTCATGTAAATGGACCAATGTGATTAAATTGAAAAGCTGATAGATTAGGATAGTGTAGGCAGAGAAGGAAAGCAAGTAGTAGAAGGTGATTCTTTCTCCTCCCAATTCTCTTGTAGGACCACCAGGTCCACCTGGAAGAGTGCCAAAAGTCTCCTTCTCAGCGGCTCTAACAACCTGGCATTTCAGTACTGGAACCATCATCTTTGACAAGGAACTGGTGAACGATGGAAATTTCTATAACCCAAATACAGGTCAGTGAATATAAGATGCAAAAAATGTATGGAATGGGATGATTGTCATAATAGCATGAAGGAGCCTGCAGCTGGGTCAGACCACTTGTTTAGCATCCTATTTCCCATGGAAGGGTAATAGCCAACCAGCCATTTTAGGATGAACCTGAATGCTGCAATCTTTTTTCACTAAGGTGCCCTAGCCACTAAAATTCAGCATGCCCTCTCCACTACTGAAGTTGCATATTGCCATTTTGACCATGACCCACTGATTACAATGGTCTCCCATGGAATTTTCTTCTTCAAGCTCTTTTTTTCTGTCAGATCAGCCCCTAGCCACCTCTGAAATTAAGACTTTGTCTCCAACTCCTAATGTGTACTCTGTAAGCTAGGATTAAAGGCAAAATCTCTTTCTTTGCCCAATGATTCTTCTGTCTTTTTCTCCCTTCAGGAATTTTCACAGCTCCTGTTTCTGGCCGCTATCTGGTCAGCGCAATTTTGACTGGGCACAGAGGTGAGAAGGTTGAGGCGGTGCTCTCCCTTTCCAACAAGGCCATTGCCCGCAGCGACTCAGCTGGATATCAGCCTGAAGGACTGGAGAACAAACCAGTGGCTGAAAGCCAACCAAGTGCTGGTGCTTTGGCAGTCTTCACTCTCATTGTCCCAATGGAGTCTGATGAGACCCTCTGTGTGGACCTCGTGTCTGGCCAGCTAGCCCACTCTCCAGATGAGCCACTGACAGTTTTCAGTGCTGCCTTGCTTTATGAGGAAGATTTGGGGGTCCATATAGTTCCTCAATGGGGGTAGGGAGCATCCCAAAGCAGCCCACAGCCCAGCAGGGAAAGGGATACCAAGGAACCCCAACTTGCACCCTAATAACACTTCTGTTCTTCCTTTCTGGGCTGGTATCACCCAGTGATAACTAGGATGGTAGAGATATAGTGATTAAGGTGTTGGATTAGGACTAGGGAAAAGCAAGGTCAAGTCTTCTCTTAGCCATGGAAATTCACGGGGTGACTTTGGGCCATTTACTCTTTCAGGCCAACCTACCTCACAGGGTTGCTGTTGTGGGGATAAAACAACAGGAGTTCCCATGGAAGCTGCCTTGAACCTTGGTGGAAAGGCAAGGTATAAATCTAATAAACCAATACATTGGCAGCTTTTGCCACCCCAGATTTGAAGCTGTCAGCTAACTTTCTGAGAACTTAAGTAGTCTCAAACAAACTTTTTCCTGGCACTTCCTATTTCCCTCCTGCCAGCCCTAAGGCATGAACCATGGAGAGTTTCCGCCTTTCTAAGGCCCTGCAGGCTACGCTATAGGTGTATTAGTACTCCCTGCATTGTCTAGAAGAAAAAGGCAGGAAGTGCAGCTGCCTAGACCAAAAAAACACATTGTCTAGGACAGTGATGGCAAACCTATGACATGCATGTCAAAGCTGACACACCACAACATTTTGAGTAACTCTCCAGAGTTTATGCCAACATTCAACAGCTATTCTCAAAAGCACACCCCATTCTCCTGCGATTTTCAGAGGCTGTGGAGGCCAGGCAAGAATGAGGTGTGCTTTGATACAGCTGCTGGGTCCTCCAGAAGTCGAGCAAGAGGGTCATGCTATTACATAGCCTCCTAAGCCTCTGAAAATCATGCAAGAACAGATCGTGCTTTTGTGTGGTTTCTGGAGGCTGTGAAAGCCATGGAAAAGCATTCTCCAAAGCCACTTCAAAGCCTTACCTGACCTGAAGCAAAGTGAGGTAGGCTGCAAGAACCAGTTTACAGAAGGAGAACATCCCCTAAAGATAAGTGGCACATAGCAGATGCTGGGGAATGTTGGGCCATGGGAGCAATTCTGCCATAGCCTGAAGCTTTTGTGCCTTTATTAGCGGCAGTGGTGGTGCTAGGGATGAAGTTGAGGCCTGGGCTAATGTTCAGGGTGGCCTAGATGGGGTAGATAGAGAATTATTTCTCTTTTGTTTGGTGTGTGTGTGTGTGTGTGAGAGAGAGAGAGAGAGAGAGAGGTCAGCAGAGTCAAGTGTTTTCTGAAGTTTTGACATGTCGAGCCAAAAAGTTCGCCATCATTGGTTTAGGAATTAGCCCTTCCTTACTTGCTGTGGAATGGAGGGAAGAATCCTTTTTGTTATTTATCTGTGTCTGTCATTTCCCGGAGAAAATGCCCACTGCTCCTCTCTTTTTGCATTGCCAACTGACTCCCTGCTTTGCCCACATTTTCTCACAACCCGCGCTGTCTCATCTACGTAATCATTTCTGCTGCCAAGCTGCCAAAAACCAGGCCAATTTGCTATAGATTTAAGAGTCCTGGATTTCCAAGCCACAAAGCCACTAATTCCTACAATAAACGAGGAAGAAAAGATATCTTTTGCGAATCTCTTTGGCAGAGTTGTAAGCAGAGGAAGGTGATGATGAATGGAAGTACTTCCACCTCTCTCTGTTTCGTCCCTTATGTATATGCTGTATAATGGCTAAACTCAGCTAATGATATAATTATTGAATAAAGTTTTTTTTTTAAAAAAAGGATGCACCTTTCTTTTCATTTGTGTGGTGTGTGGCAAATTCAATCATGTAAGAAAGGGGGAGGAAGATTACTGTTCTTTCTTCCCTTGTAGTGGCATCTCCAGATAGCCTGGAGGGAGGTGTTAAGAGGGTGCTGAGTTTATAGAGTCTTTGCACTGCAGAAAGCAACATGATCTACCTCTGAATCCCCAAAGCCTTATCTGACTGTGCCCAAGGGAATGTGAGAAATCTGGCAAGATTCTTGTAACACAGGTGACTAACACTAAAGCTGCTGTTTTGAGACTATTCACAAGTGGTTCTGGTTGCTTGCATTGATATCCCCTGATGCAACTGTCTCAGACAAGTAACAGACCAAATTAAGAAATACTTGACCTCCTAAAATGGGACTCCTTCTAAGGACCTCATAAGTGATCTCCTGTGGATAAGAGAGAAAGGCAGAGTAAAATTTTAGAATAAGAGTAAGAGTACTGTAAGTAATTCAACCAACTTGCCTAGTTGTGTAGGGCCAGAAAGATGTTGGCTCTCTTTAGTAATAAACATGTTCAAGTACAAACAAATGCATGGAATCTTTTTGTCCCATTTTGGGCATGGGTCAACAGAAGATGCATGTTGTTTGAGTCCAATGGTCATTTAGAAGAAAGATTGATTAATGTTCTTAATCAAGGAAGATTCCAATTGACTAAGAACTCCAGACTGCCCAAGCAAACAGACTGTTCTCAGATGAAAAATTGTGCTGTGTATTACTTTCTTGTCAGCCCAACTGAAGCAAAGGGATAAGACTGTAGATGAGCAAAGCATGTATAACGATCACTACCATCAGACTGAGTCCTACCATTAGACAGATTTTGAATATAAATGAGTCCCAAATGATTGGTTGCTACAGTACTCGATTTTTACTACTGATTTGACAGTCTGACTTTTAATCAGTCTGTGTGGTTTTAGGTACCATACATCTTAATATGGGTGGTGTTGATGAGGCAGTGTCATTTGCTGTTTTACTTCAAAAATAAATAGATCTTGATACCGATTAGCATGAAGCAGGAATATTCCCATAGAATGCGTTGTGGGGGAATCAGTGTGTGCAATTAGTATCATTAGGATTTTCTATAATTTGATAATTGAAATATCTGATTTGGCAGGTTGGCTTAATTTATCAGGATTCTGAAACTGCAGCTAAGAAATGAGCAGGTGAGTTCAAAAAGAGAAAGCAATACTGCTCTCTGTTACAAAATATATTCTCTCCACACTCATAGCATAGGTTACCCTATGAAGCCCAGATCTGAATTCTGCCTGGTTAATGTGACAATTGGATGTTAGAACTGTCAATAAAAATATAGAGGAGAAAAGAGAAGATTTTCAACCAGGAATAAAAGTCATTTTGAAAAAAACAACAACATGAAATCATCCCCACAACAGCGAAAGTACATGACAGTGCCTAATACAATATTCTGACATATTTTTTAAAAGCATTGTGTCTACAACCATCCTTAAGTCTTCTTCATCCCAAATTATTTTTTTAAAAAATACATTATTTTAAAACATGAATGGTAACAGTTGGGAGTTAGATAATCCTAGGCAAAGCAGAATGTAATGAAGAAAACAGTTCTCCCCATTCTCTGATTAAAAACCCTGATTTGGCAATTGCATATGAAAAATATATTGACAGTACAAAAATGTTGGTCTGTAAATACACACAACTGTCCTTTTGTTCAAATATTCTGAGGATAGGGCTATTTGAATGATTGCTAAGAAGTTAAATCGGGGTTTTGTTTTTTTTACAGTAAAGAGACCAATGAAAGGCCCTTTTTTTAGTAGCCATCTATCTCATCTCTCAGCAGATGCATCTTGAGGGAGACTTCTGAAGATTATATTAACATCTGGGCAAGAGTGTGTGGAGGAAAAGTGTGGTCCCAGACTGATTAATGTTTTAAGGGGAATATTAACACTTTGAACCGAGTCTGGAAATGAACTTAAAATATATCATGAGGCATAGACCTGACATAACATGATAATATCAGCCAGTTCCTGTTAACCATCTCGCTGTCTTATTTTAAGTCTGTTGAAATTACTGGCATTTTCAAAGACAATTCACTGTACAACATACTGTTAAAATTCAAACAAAATATTACCAGTTTCTTCCAAAACTGTCTGGAGTTGCATGTTAATTCAAGTATTTTCCCAGGAAGATCTATAATTCAGATCTTGTGCATCCTAGATAGGCCTAATTACGCCTGTTCAAATGGCTGGCTTATTCCTTCTCATCAAGCAGGAATATATCATTCCCTGGACACAGCTGGACATCACATATAAGTGAGCCCTCACAGATAATCAGTAAGGTTTGTCCAAGCAACTTTAAAATAAGCAACTTGGTATAAAAACCCATCCTGACTCTAGAACTTTATAAGAGCTTTATAAAAGCTATGATCTATTCATAATTCCTGTGGACCCCGCTCAAGCAATGCTTATATGCTATGTCCTGGATGGAAGGGAGGGACTGCCAATAATCTTTCCAGCCATCCTCACCACTCTCTGCACCGCCTTCCTGTCTGAAGCAGACTGTAATGCAATATGACAGGATGCTCTCGATCGTCCCTCTGTAGAAAGTGGTAAGGACAGGGGAAGGAAGATGTGCTTTTCTCATGCGATGCAGAAAATGCAGGCGCTGCTGTGCCCCCTTCACCAGTGTCTCGCTGTTGAGCGACCAAGCCAGCCTGTGCAGCTAACGAATAGTTAGCATAATATATCTGAAGTAGATCAGTTTCAGCTGCTCATTTGTGTCTCAAGTGAGAACTCTGGGTTGATTTATTCAATGATTCCTCTATTTGCTATCTTGGCTGTCCACAGTAGTCTCAGGAGTCTTCTCCAAAAACAAAAGTTCTAAAGCATAAATTATTCTTCTTATCTTGCTTCTTCAAAATCCAATTTTCCCTTCTATAGATTGTGACAGAGAATATCATGGCTTGCCTAATTCTGATCTCTGTAAGTATAAACTCATCACTCCATTTGAATATTTTTTCAAGGCCATAATGACATCTATCAAGTGCTAGACTGTGGTGTATTACTTCACTGCTTGTTCCTTTATTGTGACGGATGATCCGGAGTGCCATAAATAATGGATTGCAATCTTGTGGCTACACACAGTAGTTATCTTATATGTTTGTACATTATATGTTTTTGTTTTACATTATCTATGTTACTTTTATTTTCTATTTCATTGTAAGTCACCCAGAGTCACATATTTGAGGTGGGTGGCTATACAAGTAGAATAAATAAATAGACAAGCTTTCTCCCTAGAGGCACGATCTTAAAAGGATCTTATCTCTGTTATTTAAGGAGCCCTTTTGATATAATTAAAGATCTACTGTGCCACCCAAATTTCCCCTTTGGTGAAATGCAGAGACAAAGTTTTCTTTCTTGTTTATTTCCATCTATTTTAATGTATGTATCTTATGTTAATTGTTTTATTAGC